TCATTCATTTTCATCAGTTTGTTTCTTACGTTTTCTCTCTCTCTCTATCTATCTCTGTATATCTCTCTCTCTTTCTTATGAATCGTTTCATTTATGAATCGATATATACTGGATTTTAGGACGAGGAAAAATTAATTTCTTTACTCTTTTTAATCCACGATTTATAATTTGCATTTTATCGTTGAATTGTTAAGTTGATTAATGCAATTTTAATTTGTATTTCTATGTGCATTGGGAATACAAACTAAAACGAAGAGTCTCTGTGAAATTAAATTTTTAATTCAAATTTTTGTAAGAATTTTATTTATTCTTTTTTTTTTTAAATGTTCTCTTCTATGAATTTTTTTGTTTATAGCAATATTGGTGTGTCGTATTTAAAAAAATTTTTAATTCGACCGATCTTCCTCGCGAAATTCGTTGGATATGAAAACACAATACAGAGGAGGGAGCTATAATATCGTTTACCGTGTATATCGTGTAACCGTATCGTGTAACAACTGTTTAGGTCCACTGACGAATAACGCCTACGAATGATTATTGTTCAGTATTGCTGATCACTCTGTAGCGCCTCTATTCCATCAACGAGAAACCGGCGAAAATGCGAGAAACACGCAACACTTGTGCCCCACTTTTTTTCCCCCCACCCCTCCCATTTGTCTTGCCATTCATACCATTTTGGAACGACAAAAATGAGAATTTTTCAAAGAGAAAAAAAAAAAAAAAAAAAAAAGGAAAGAACCATCGTTTCTCATTTTTCTTTTTTTTTTTTTTTCTTACAACGAAAATCCTCAAAATATTTTCATACATCCGGTATAAAAATGATATCGTATCGGATCTTCAAATTAAAAGCAACGTTCCAAAATACCATAGTATGAATATTTACTATATATATCTGTATATCTTGTACAAAACGATATATATATATATACATACATACATATATATTTATACAATTCATACTATCATGCATCGTTACACCATCAAGACGCAGGTATACGTGTGGCACGCACACGTGTACTTGCACCTCTTCACACATCTATATGATAACACCTTAGCGTATACCAGGAATATATTCCCTATGAATGCAACGAATTTTCACCTAGAACTTAGTCGAATATGTAGATGAGCATCTTGCATCCGTAGAGACGACACCCGGAACGCGATACGAACGCCACCTTTTGCTCCCCAACAACACGATTATTATATTCATTGTCTGATTAATAGAGCCTGTGTGTAATTCTGTTCGTTTCTTTTTTTTCTCTCTCTCTCTTTCTCTCTGTCTAATTTTTTTTTTATCTTTTTTTTATATATCTCTTAATCTCTCTTTGTCTATCTATCGTTTATTGTTGCGTCTATGAATATATTATAACATATATATATATATATACTATGCAAAAGACACATCGTCGGGGACACTTGATGCCCGAAATAGAATCAGGTAGGACACTACAAGGGGGACAATCGAAAGCGTGATATAAAAAAAAAAATGTGAATGAGTATTTTGACAGGTTTGATACTCGTCGAGCGTGAAATTGGTTGGAAGGTAACGTTCTAACGCGGGATATTTGAATGTGATTGAATGAATTTTTTTGTTACTTTATCACGTCTTTGTTTATTGGAAAATTTATTCATAATTTCTAAAATCGTGGTGGATTAAAAATAATTCCACTTTTGATTTACCCTTTTCCACATCATTTTCCAAATTTAGAATTACAAATTTCTAATATTTGACAATTATTGTCAAATATTATATTCGATAAATCGATATCGTTTTTTAAAAAGCATTTCAACAATTTTTTTTTTTATAGATCCATAAATACATTTATGGAAAATTAATATGAGAATATCTTTCCAAGTCGTATCGACTCTCTCAGTCTCACCTTCTCAATTATATACACGTTTGATACATCGAGGAAATAAAATTATAAAACTCGCAAGATCGATGCTAATCTACGATCGTTGACAAAGAAAATTCGTAAAGGCAGGGGGGAGAGGAAACGAGGAGTTTTTCGAGGTTTGCGTGCGAGTCGCGCATGGGTTATCGCGCGAACCCATCAAATACTTTCATTACCATGTAACAATTTCCTTCCGGAAGTCGGTGTAGAAACGAGAGTAGCGGCTGCTCTCGTCGCCTGCAATTTGTTTCAATTACCAACTCGAAGACGGCCAACGATCGTTCGTTTCCTTTTTCACCCTCTCGTGATCTTTTCTATCTATTTTTCTTTTTCCCTCCAGAGAGACAAACCCACTGATATTATAATTAAACCTCGAGCCATTGTCTTTCGAATCTGTCGTTCGTTTCCACGAGAAGTTTAATTAAATTTATCTAATCGCCGTGTTTTTTCTTTCTTTCTTTCTTTCTTTCTTTTTCGATCTTCGATACTCTCTTTCTATCGTTTATACTTTCGTTTAATACTTTCTTTCATTCTAATTTTTTTCTTTTTTGTTTTAGAGAATTGTTCCTTCGACGATAAGAACGTTACCTTTCTCCTGATTAATCAATTCTACGTCCAATTCTACGCAACAATAATAGGCAAAATAAAAAAAGAAAGAGGTGAATGAAAAGAGGAAAATGATGAACATCGTTGAAACTTCGTCAACGTTAATTCGTCCCCGGGCTTCTTCACCACGATCTCTCTCTCTCTCTCTCTTTCTCTCTCTCTCTTTCTCTTTATCAGCCCAATCGACCATCGTTCCTTCGTTCGTTCGTTCGTTCGTTCGTTCGTTCGTTCGTTCGTTCGTTCGGCCATTCGTCATCAGAAGTCACAAGCTCCATCTCGATCGATTCACGATGGCGGGATCATCCGAGAAAAGGTATCGTTCCATTATTTCGTAACCTTCGTAATAGCAATGGAGGAGGAGAATGGCCAACGTTCGACACAATACCGATCGACGTTTCTCGCGTAAATAAATCGCTTTCTATCCTCCTTCGAGAGAATTCGAGAAAGGAAAATTGAAGAAAAATCGTTACACACCGAGTATCGAAAAATATTCGTCGTTATTTCTTTTCTTCGGGGGAACAAAAATTTATCATTTATCTTCCCCTGTAAAGAGGAATATCCTTGTGAAACGATCATCGATCGATCGACAGATCGAGGATCCTCTTCATTCATGATCCTTCGATCAAATTTTCAAGAAAGGAAAATTCAGCTTGCGTTCCCTCGTCTCTGTAAAAATCTGTTTGCTTCTCCTCGCGGATGATCGAACGTCGTTGAGAACATTGGAGGGAAAATATATTGAATTATTCGTGGACACGTATTTCGACGAACGATTGGAAATCGGCGCGTTTATCGATGTAAATCGTTTATCTCGATAAAAATGGAAAGATCTTTTTTAATTACGAACGAGATCCAAAGAAGCGTGAACTTACGTGGACGATAGAAAATTCAGAGAATCTAAATCGACGCGCTTTCTCCATTTTCTTCGATAAAAGTTTCTTTCAATAATTCGTGTATCGAGTTTTCTTTTTCTTTCTTTTTTTTTTTTTTTTTTTTTTTT